TTGATTTGTATTTGTTTAACAATACGAATAGTTAACGAATCATATACGAATATCGAATCAATTTGAGCATAAGTTAAATATTAGTCAAATATCACTTTAAAATAACTTTTCTTAAACTCCGTATTTTTTATGATGTAAATGCATGTATGACTTAAAGCGTGTTTATAGAATTTAAATTTAATGGATCAATGCATTTTTAGATGATGCACAATATACTAAAGTGAATTAATTTCATGATTAATAAATATAAACATATTTCAAACCTTTTAAAATAAACACTAACACACACATACACATTAGAAATTATACTTATAATGTGTGAAATAAGTTGATAATTGTATATATCAAAGTCAAACAACTCTATTTTTATTCTTCAAATCGAATACATAATTATTTGTATTGTATTTGGAAGACATTTGAAGCAAAAAATTGATCTGTATTCGTATTTATAATATTACCATTATTATTAATCGAATATATTTGATTAATATTTGAATCGAATACACTGATACTCTTATAAGTCTTATTTGTATTTGATAATAACTCGAATCAAATTTAATATTCTTATTTGTATTTGTATTTGAATTTTCCGAATTCGTATCGTCTTATACGAATTCGAATCGCGAATCGAGCATAAATTGTTTGATTCGTTTACAACCCTATTCGTTTATAACCCTATGTGTGGTCTCCTCAGGCATTCATCACGAGAACCGTCGTCTGGCCAAAGTCATTTAGGGCCCTTCCCGATGGAATCTTTTTATGAAAGCTTTTGAGCATGTTCTTCATCAAGTTCAGATAAACTCCATAAAATTTCAGCTTAAAATTCTATCGGGAAGTCAGTTTAATAAATTATTGAAACATACTATGCTTTATATATATAAAGCGCAATATGTTTCAATAATTTATTTAACTTACTTCCAATTGAATTTTAATCAGAAATTTTGTGGGCATAAAATGCACTTCATGAAAAACATGCTCAAACTAATTCATCAAACTAATTCATGAAAAGCCCTAAATGGCCTTGGCCAAATGGGAGTTTCCGTCCGGTGGTCCGCACCAGATCAGGACTAGCATTGGAGTCGAGAACAACACATATTCCAACTAGACCATCAACTGTGGGTTGACTCCTCCTACTCGTAGACGCTCTTAGTATTAATTTCAAGAGAGGACATTCTTGGCCTTAGTTGGTGCTATATACGGAGTAATTATCATTTATGTAGCTTTCTTGGTATACTTTTGTGTATGTATATAAATTATGGCTCAATAACTTTGTTCGAAGTATATGTTTGGCCGTTTTGGGTATATAAATTACACCTATCAAAGTATCAATGCACATATATTATCATTTCACGTCACACGCACCTATATTCAAGGATATTTTTATTATTATCTTGACAATTGACATAGTTCATTGCATAGTTACTGTACATGTCTTTCAATGATATACTTATTCCACTAACAAATTTTCAGTCTAACAAACATCCTCAGAAGTCTTAACTTTGATGGCTCCCATAAAGCTTCCATTGATTGAATTGATAAGGTATTTTGAACATGCAAGCGAGAATGGCATCCGTATTCTACAATTTTAGTTCGTGTTATCTGCAAGTTTCTCATTCCTAGGCGCCAGAAAAATTGACATCCGTTTTAAAGAACTTTTGCAACAAGATGAGCATGTACTTGATCATTTTCTTCTCTTAATAAATTACGTAGTACAAGAATATGAAATACCAAAAAAAACTAAGAGCACCACCAATGGACCACTGTTAACATATGACACATGGCAATCAATGAATGGAATAGTCATCCACATCATTTAAGAAGTATAGCGTAACAGTGAAACTCAAAAAATGTGTCCAACGCTCCATGTTAATCACCTATTAGAAGTTTATGCGTGAACTGCATATTTTCAAAAAAAAAAAGTGTGTAGCTTTACTCATCAAGAGGTGAAAAAGGTGAGTTGGTGGGAGATATCATTTCCCCACTACTTGAACATAGGGAGTACATGTAACTGTTTCGGCCGCATATATTTTCATGGATGGGAGATTTCAGCCGTATTTCCCTCTCACAATTGCCGACTCAGCATGTTGAAGGCATTGTATAATAAGACAGTCATGTTGACGCTGTTATAAATTGGTCAGCAATACATTAGCTATGACATATTGCGCTGGAGATGAATATCTATACGAAGCGCAAGACAGGGATGACAGGGCAATTTTTTTTAATGTCAACGGCCACCCATTGGTGATGCTCTAACATGGCATGGCATGAAGAAGTTTCAATAGTCTCATGTAAAAGAAAAAAGAGAACTTTTTTAACATATCACAAAAATGCCATAAGTTTATAAAAAATACATCCAATATATATTCGAACTTTGGAAAATAATTTTCACTAACAAATATACATCCAATATTCGGACTTTGGAAAAGAATTTTCATTAACAAATATTTGGGTATGTTTTGGTACTGAATCCCATCACATGTTTTATAAGTTATCCTGATAGAATTTAAGAGGGAAAATTAAGTACATAACTAATGTTAGCTGGATAAAGGGAGAAAATGGGAGAGCTAGAGAGAAAGAAATATTTTTAATGCAACGGTAGTAAATGAAGCATGATTGGGTAAATTCATATCATGGTTGCATATTTTTACCCTAGCATACTTTTATGAATTAAAGTGGTAATATAATTAATTCAAATTAATTATGCATATTAATGATAAAAGACGCAACCCAAAATGGTAATATCCAACCTTAAAAATCCGTGAATTTTTACCTAAGTTGGTAAATTTTTACCCAAACGGATAACATCACACAATTACCAAGGTAATATAAATCAAGGTTAATCTTAATGTGCATTCAAGGTTGAATTCAATATTAAGGTTGAATTCAATCAAGGTTAACCTTAATTACATTTAACCTTATTATGCATTCCTGGTAATATGCGATCTTGAATGTAATTAGGAGCAAAAGAAGCATTGTATATTGATAGACTATTGACTAGGAGAAGATATAACAAGAGAGAGAAATTGATATGCATAAATGAACTATTCAACGGTAGTCCTGGACTCGGGCCGAGTGGCCCGACCCGGAACCGGCCCGGGACCGGTACTGTGCTGAACCGGCCAGTGACCGGTCCGGGTAGGCCCAGCCCCGGGGGTTCCCGGTGCGGGCTCGGATCACCTAAAAGCCGAATCGGCCCGGCCGGTTCGGGCCCGGTTCCGAGCTTTTTATTTTTTTTCATTTTTTTTTAACTTTTCGGGTTAGGTTGGGTATTTTGGGCCATTTGGGGTAGTTTGGGGGGTTGGGGGTGAGAGGGGGGTTAATTAGGAAAAGGAAAAAAAAATTGACCCGAGGCCCGGACCGGACCCGGTGAGGCGGTGACTACCCGGGCCGGTCCCGGGCCCACCTATTCAGAACCGGCGGCCCGCCCGGGCCTAGGCCCGGCCCGGACCTATATGTCCCTTAAAATTACGTGATCATTGACCAATTATTAAAATGATATAGAAATCTTCTGTGTTAAAAGTATTTTCATGAAAGTATATAATTTACAAGTTACATTACATAATATTATACTCCATAATAATTAAAGTCGCTTTCTAAACCTTATCATAATTACGATAAAAAAACCTTCTCATAATTGATCTGAAAAGTCAAAGATGATAAAAATTTAAGGGACGAATGTAGTAGATGTTTTCAGATATCAACTCTTTGATATTAAATTCTACAATTAAAATGCTTAAGTTATACTCCCTACGTATTTCTTTGTTTGTTAAACTTTCCTTTTTTGGATGTATTAAAAAAATTGTTACACTTTCCCTTTTTAGTAAGTTTTTTTTAAACTACTCAACTACCCTTACTTTTTGTACTTTTTATCTTTTCTTTCATACTTTTCCACCATCTCCCCTACTTTTTCTACACTATTCATTACCCCTACTATTTCACTCTTAAAAGATGTGCCAATACTTATTGTAGCAAACAAAAAAATATGGAGGAAGTACTTATATGTGCCAATACATAATCGGTAGATGTTATTCCTGTGCAACGCACGGGTGAAATACTAGTGATGATGAATGATGAATGAATATCAACCACATACATACTTTTCTTTATAATCTCATCATATTCTCATATCTCAACGTTAGTTGATGAAGATAGTATAATTTAAAAATATGACTATTACATTTTTTATTAAGATTTTTAATTTTAATTCTGTAAGTTTAGACTATGATTGATTGATCGTTATGTGTCAAATGACTTTTCTCACTTGGTCTCTTAACTAATACTCCGGTTTTTAATAAACTTCACACTTTCCTTTTTAGGATGGTCTAAAATAAACTTCACACTTCCTTTTTTTGTAGTCTACAGTAAAGTCAAGTTTCTTTCCTTATTTTGTCATTTATAAGCTGGTCCATAGTAAAGTACACATTTCGACTAAAAATTCAAAGCCGGCAGCATCCTTCTGGTATATTTTTTCCCGGAAGGTATATATTTAGGGGATTCTTAAATTGTAAAGATTTACGTGGTATAAGTTACCGGACCAACTTGTAGTAAAATTAAAGGCTACTCTTATTTATATGTTCCCTACATTTGCTTTTGGCAAAATATTTTAGGATAGAATAGTAAGGTAGTGAATAGTGTAGAAAAAGTAGGAGATAATGCGTAAAAGTATGAAATAGAAGATAAAAAGTAGATACAGTAAGGGCAGTTGGGTATTTTATAAAGGGTAAATTTACCGACAATGGAAGTGTTGGGAATTTTTAAATACATCCCAAAAAGGAAAGTGTAAGGAACTTTTAAATACGGGGAATATTTTTTTTTTACAGAAGTGAAGATTTTTTTTTTTTTTAAATCAACCTTAATTTTAGAATTAAAAATATAGTGTGGCTATTTTTTCATTATGTTTAAACCTTATCCGTATTTAGTACTTCGTATTTACCTTATTTCTTTCCCGTTTCTCTTTCTTTAAAAATGTTTGAAATCTGTCACGTTCCATTGCTTTCCAACGCCAGTAACGTACGCACACTCTGTTCTGGAAGTTTTTGTTTTATGGCACTGCTGGCTTATAAATTATTGCACGAAACTCTCTAATAATGCCGGAAAAGAAAGAGAGAGAGAGAAAAAAAAGAGGCGGAAAAGAAAGAGTGTGCGTAAATGGACGGCGGAGCTGAAAGGCGCCGGCGGGACTGCGTGGTTATGGTGCCTGCCCCCTTCCAAGGGCACGTAACCCCTATGCTGCAACTAGGACATATCCTTCATTTAAAGGGCTTCTCCATCATAATCGCCCACACCCAATACAAGGCGCCTGACCCTTCAAACCACCCTGACTTCTCCTTCCACGACTTGGCAGATGGATTGGACTCCAGTGATAGTATAACTGGAGGCAGAGGACTGGAAATGCTCTATGCCATGAATGAGAATTGTAGGGTACCCCTCCAGGAGTATTTGGAAGAGAAAGGGGATGTGGTTTCTTGTATCATCTATGACAACATCATGTTCTTCGTTGACCAAGTGGCTGCTCTTCTCAAGCTGCCCTCCATCGTTTTACGCCCCTTCAACGCTGCTTACTTGCTTGCTCTGCTCCATATGCTTGATAATGGGGACTCTGTTTTGCCCGTTCCGGGTACATTGTTTAAACCTTTTCTTTTTTAGTTATGCTAAATTTTTCCTGATTTGCAATTGCAAGTTTTAGGACTGATCAATCAAATGGATAATATTTTACAAATCTAGTCATCTAGCTTTTCTTTTCAGTTAATTATGTGAAAGATACTTTGAAAATGGGGTAAGAGTCTACATCAACTTGTATGAGTTGGAGTAAAGAGTACACTATATTGCATTTGATTCTTTTAAGTATACAAGCTCGTTTTTGTAGTGTTAATTGGGTAAACTCGTTGGCAGGGGCGGATCTAGAAACTTTAGCCATTAGGGGCACCAATGAAGAACAAGTGAGACTATTTTTAACTCCAAAAGATGAAAGATCCAATGTAAGCACAATAGAAAAAATATATCATTTTCATTTTAATTTACCCAGTGCCGCACATGCTCCCACAGCGGCGGCGACGGACGCAGGAATTTTCGGTAGCAGGGGCGGCAGTACAAAAATTGAAAAATATACATACAAATACATATATATTAAAATAAATATACAAAGTTGTAGGGGCACCAGCCCCCTTTGTCACCCCCCTCTGTCCGCCACTGGGTAAGGGGAGTGAGGGTCGGATGTACGTAGTCTTACCCCTGTACTAAAGCACAGAGAGACTCTTTCCGGATGACCCATAGTGAAAATCGCGTCCAAAATTGCATGGGCTGACTGCTGCTTCCTAACAAAGAAGCGCATACAGTACGTTTAGTCAGCCAATTTGCTTTATTCCATCATATTCTCAAGCCAAAAAATAATGAATCTTTGGCTCTATTGCAAATGATAGAAAGATAAATAAAAAAAATTACAATTTATTAAAACTACATCATTTCCCGCTTCATTTACATAGTTATCTCTCGACAAAAAACAACGTAACACAAGCAAAAATTTTTATCCTTTTTTATACCATTCTAACCAATTCCCATACTGATTGAACCAGATAAAACTAATCTGCCACAACTTTTGCCTATAAAATTCGTATGAAAATCATGGCCATGAGGTTTGCAGGGTCTCCGAATCCAGTATCTTCATCTCTTCGATATTTCTGGGCTAACGAAGGAGTATTATATGATACATAAACACCTGAACTTTGTCTAGCATCCCCTCTTTTATGGAATGAAAGTGGCGATTTTCATTAATAGAATCGTATTATCATTGTTTAATATGACCAAATAAATTATACTTTAAAAATTGTACTTATGATTTACAACAAATAATCTACCCAAATGCTTATGATTAATCAATTTGCCCAAATGTATTTGGGCAAATTGTCAATAACCCATTCAAAACAAACAAGATAAATTATCAGGAAATTCTAAGTATTAAAAAATGAAAACTCTAATTAACAAAATAGAAAATCATTAATTTAAACAAAAAAATTAGTAAATTCCTAATAACTTAATTATCAAGCAAAAAAAAGGAGATGGAGGGTTAAGAAATTGAAATTTACGGTCCTAAAAAATAGAGTATTGAATATGGAGAATACTCAGTATAACCGTATTGCATTTTATGTACTAGTTAAATATGGACTCTTGTCGATCAATTGCATACTGTGAATTTAGGGATTAGATATGAATATAAAATTTCAAACAATCAGAATTAAAGACAAGAGCATACGGATGGATCGTATGACTTCGTTGACTGTTTTGAGTATTTGGCTAGGACTTTATTGAGTCCTCCATTATTTTGATTGCGGGCACCACCTTTATCATATATACGTATACTAAACCTTGAAAATATGGAATCCATTGGGGGCAAGTGCCCCCTAATACTATCATCAGTCTCTTTTTAATCGCAACATGTTGAATTTTACACTATTCACATGTTCTACTTTGACTACATTTTATATTATTATTTTATGAAAATTATTTTTTTAAAATTATATTGTTCAATTCATCTCATTACAAATTTTCAAAGTCTAATTTTTAAATATTTTTTGCTAATAGGGATTAAGATATAATTACGGTCAAAGATGTGTGTTGGCAAGTGTGAAATGTTGACCGTTGCAACTAAAAAAGAACGGAGGAAGTACTAAAGTGCATCCGCCCCTGCTCGTTAGATTAACACGTTAATACGGTTGAGTTGACTAACAGAATGCGAATATGTCGACTTCCTGAAGATTGACGCCAACCCCCAGCTCCTTAATCGATTTCCTTTTGGTCGACGTCAGTCACCGCAGGTTGACTTTTCCTTGGTCGATGCACCCCCGCTGACCGATGCCCCCACAGGTCGACTTCCGAATGTCGATTTTCTCTTTTTGGTCGACTTCGTGAAGGTCAACATCATAACCTTGTTCCATTACTCAGCATTCCATTAGCCAACTCAGTCATACTAATGTGTTAATTTAACTAGTGTACTCAATTAACACTAAATAACCGAGTTTATGTACTTACAAATGTTAAATGCAATATAGTGTACTCTTTACTCCAGTTCATATAAGTTGAACTCAATTGACCATAATAATCTCCACTTCAAATGCAATATAGACCTCCTTTAAAAATGTTGTAATCTCCAGAAAAGCATCATATATTTATGCTCCAAATAATAAACATCTTTATGCTCCAAACATCTTACAAAGTACCCTGAGCGGTAACAAATAGATCAAACAATAAGCATCTTTACGCTCCAAATATCTAGTTGTTAATTTAAATTGCTAAAAAGGTTTTTTTTTTTTAAAGTCTAGCTCATATAATGTATTCATTTTACAGAGTCAAGGCTTCAGGATTCAATTCCAGACCTTCATCCCTTGAGGTATCAAGATATTTACACCCATCTAGAGAAGGAAGAAGTAAGGCGTTTCATGTTGACTTCAAACGATGTAAGGTCTTCGGTGGCCATAATATGGAACACAGTGGAGGTTCTTGAGCATACATTGTTGTCAAGGCTTCAACAACGTTACAAAGTGCCCATCTTCCCAATAGGCCCATTTCACAAGATTTCTGCAAGTAGCAAAACTAGCTTGATAGAGGAAGATGAAAGCTGCCTCACATGGTTGGATAAGCAAGCTCCTCAATCCGTCCTCTTTGTAAGCATATCCGGGAGCTTAGCCGGGATTAATGAAAGTGATGTTGAAGAGATTGCATGGGGTTTGGCCGATAGCGACCAACCGTTCGTGTGGGCAATCCGTCCCGGTTCAATCGAAGGTGAGTTTGTATCTTTATGTTTTACTAGCTCCCTTAAGATTATGGCTCATTTGTTGGAATACATAAATTTTGAAACTTGAGGTAATTTGAGTGTGTAGGAGTAGCTTCTTTATCCGGAGATAAATAAGAGACAACTCAAACGTTAAAATGAGATGAATAATTTTGTTAATGTCTCACACCATATATCTTTAAAACAATTAAACACTATATTAAGATTTAAGCTCCTTCTCCTATCAGATTGATTTTTAGAATGAAACTCTATATCTTAATATGGTATCAAAGCCAAAAATCAATCCATGGTTTGGGTCCCCTGTGAAAAAATGACGATAAAAATTGATCATAACGAACTGATGAAAAAATGAATGATGTAACGATCCAGACGAATAGCCCGTTTGGTGAGCCCTTTTTTGGCTTATTAGGCTTATCAGCTAGCTTTTTCACCAAACACGTAACTTTTGATTTCGCGCACTGTATTTTTTAATAAGCAGAAAAAGTAAGGCTGGAGTTACTTTTATGGATGTATTGGCTGAAGTTATTGTAGAGGATCATTTAGTTATTTTTTCATATTATTTTTTATTTAATTTATTAATAACAAATATTTTAAATATATTTTAAATATATTTTTTCATGTATCCGTCAATACACTCACTTCAGCCAGAACTTCATAAATATCAGCAGAATCAGCCAATTCAGTCAATTTTATTGTTACCAAACGGGCTCGAAGTGTCTTGTCGTGAGGAGGGGTGTTATTGTCCTACATCGGATATTTTTAAAGCAATTAAACACTATATTAAGATCTGGGTTCCTCCTCCTGTCAGAGTGGTCTTTTAGGATGGAACTCAGATCTTAACAAATTTAGAATATACTTCCTCCGTTCTTTTTTAATTGCAACAGTCCACTTTTCAGGCTTGCCAACGCACAAGTTTGACCACTAATATCTTTCATTCCGTATTAGTAAAAAAATTAAAAAAAAAATAGATTATGAAAATTTAAAGTGTGAGGAATTTAACAATATTATTTTCAAATTTAATTTATAATACATTTATAAATAAAATAGAGTCAAAGTAGAACATGTGAATAGTGTAAAAAGTCCAACGTTGCATTTAAAAGAGAACGGAGGTAGTAGTACGTACTATCTAAGGCGTGAATGTGTTTGTTTATTGAATGATTTATATGCTCTGAAAGGAAAAGAGAAGCTCCTTGAGGACTTTAAGAAAAGAACCATTAACAAAGGACAAGTAGTGAAATGGGCGCCGCAGAAGGATGTATTGGCTCATAGCTCTGTGGGTGGATTCTGGAGCCATTGTGGTTGGAATTCTACTTTGGAGTGTCTTAGCGAAGGCATTCCATTGATTTGTAGACCACACTTTGCTGACCAATTGGTCAACGCCAGGTTCTTGGTCCACAAATGGAAGGTCGGGTTGGAGTTAGAAAAGATGGAGAGAGGTATCATTGCAGATACTATCAGAAGACTCATGGTGGGAGGTGAGAGGAAAGAGTTGAAGAACAATGTCATGGAAATAAAGGAGAAACTTGATAATAGCTTTAAGAAAGATGAAGGCACTTCATATAGAGCACTCTCTGAACTTGTGAATTTCATTTCTTCATTTTCACTTTCCAATTCCGATCGTGAGGTGAGTGTGGGGCAGTCATATACAGGGACGGATCGTAGTACAGATCCAAAGGGGCGGTCGCCTCTCAACAACAAAAATTTTTAGTGTATATATATAATAAAAAATAATTTTCGCCCTCCCAAAAAATATTTTGTTTAAGCTACCGTCCTCCCAAGACAAACTCCCTGGGTCCGTCCTTGGTCATATATCTAGTTTTTTAAACAGATCCTACATCTATTTATAGAAATTGTTACTACATACGTATAATGTTACCATTTCATGTATTTTTGTTTCACAAGATTTGTAATAAAAAGGAAACAGATTGATTTGTCCAAACACACGTAACTCAAGAATCAAGATCGCAAAAGTTTGAATACATGCACAATGCCACATTGGATATATTTAAATATTAAAAAAATGGTGAACCACGTCCCTAAAAATCCAAGACTCCCCTCAAATCCAATTGCACATTTTGTTAAAAAACTGAAATTGAACTTTAATGGCAATATGTTTGATAGTGTGAAGTAACAAAAGTGAACAAATCTCATTCAAGAATGTAATTATTGAGCATTTCTCGACATAAGACGACATGTCCATGACTAGTTATTTTCAAATAAGTATAAAGAGTCGAAAACAAAGTGGTACATTAAAAAGACGGAGCTAATAATTTTTAATCAGTTTTGAACGACTTGTGGCCATTGGTGCGAACCCGAGACTCACAAGTGGGTCTTGCATCGCATGCATTTGCATAGATCCTTGCACTGGGGTATGGCTTAAATTTTCTCCTCATTTCCTTTGTCACATTTAACAGTTGAGTTACGCCTACCGAGTGAATGCAGTATTTATTTTCCCACCCATTAAGTTATATATCCCACTTTAGCACCCAAATATATGGATTGTTCAAACTTTGGTGATGACTAAGCTAGCTGACTTATACACCTATTCGCCCCCCAATGTTTCAAATAGCCTAAACGAAGTGAACTCAAACTCAAGCTCACAAACACTCATACAACTTGATAAAAGCGAGCTACCAAGTAAAATTATTTGCAAACGTAACTGACGTACTAAATAGTTAGTACGGTATCATCGAGCTCAAAATTAAGCCTTGAGCTTGGTATATGTTTAATAAATTGATTGATTGAATCAGTGGCGGAACCAGAACAAAATTTGAGGGGATGCTAAAAAAATTCGAACCAGTATATGATTCACACACAAGCGCACACATACACATGCATACATATCAACTTAAATATTGACATTTATTCATTATTGTACTTATTTTGGTATTGCCTAAACAAAATAACAGTCTTCGTTTATCAAACGAGTTTATTTGGATTTAATACGCTTGTCCTTTTATTTTAGAATAACAAGGTTCAAATTGAAATATAGCTAAACAAATAGATGAAGATAAATTAATAATATATACATAGTATAAGTTACTAACTTATCAAGAAAATAATAATTTTATTTTTCTCTTTTCAAATCAACGTTACTTGTAGGTTATCTATTTTTTAAAAGGATATTTGTTTTGTGTTTGCAAATGTATTACATAAATCTAATTATACTCTATAAAGTTAGATATGTCAAATAACAACAAGAAATTTTGGCATATTTGTACTAAACCAAGGAATAAATAGTTATGTTAACGTTCAAGTCGTTTTGAAAACTTTCTTGATAAACTCCTAATAAAATGATATAGATCAATGTTTGAAGAGAGAAGAAATATTTAAAGGTAATTTTTTACTACTCCGTATTATTGTACTAAACAGAAAATGCAAATAACATGTTAATATTCAAAAAAGTAAATTGAATTGAAACAATAAAAATGTAGCATAAAAGTAAAAGAAATCTGGAGTGGTAGGAAAAAAATTAAAACTAATAATATCCCAAAAGTTAAGGGAACATTTAAAATCTGGAGTGGTAGGAAGTATCACACATCCTACGTATTAATTAAAAGAAAAAGGCCTCGGCGTGAATCGAACCCGCGCTATAGCCTAAATATGTAGAAAGCCTCAACCATCCACGATGCTCAAACTATTAGTCGAGTTACAGGTCAGTTAATATTTAGCATTGTTCTAGAGACGGGGCTGAACATATGCATATACATATATATACACTACAACCTCCGGCGAACGGGGGCGGCAGCACCGGCTCCCCCCCCCCCCCCCCCCCCCCCGAGTTCTGCCACTGGATTGAATGGGATTCCCATGACACATAGTCATGGAAATCCGCCTCCACCCGTCAATCGGCTTAGCTCGAATTGAGGTTGTGAGGAACCTATATGTCTCGAGGGACGGAGGGAGTAATAATTAAAATTTAGGCTAACTTTTAAAAAGTCTTTCATTTTTTTTATGATCCAAGTGTCGGTATTTGCACTTCCCTAATCCTGGAGTCTATTGACTACCTCCAAAGCCACTAGACAGTTAAATTTGTATCTGATCACAGTCAGCCTCGTCAGTACTGGTACCACATGACGAATTCAACAAGACTTCCTATCAACTGAATCCAGAAGGGTCATCAACCGTCGACTGATGCAGAAGGGTCCATGACCGTCAACTGGTGTAGAAAGGTCTTCAACCATCGACTGAATCCAAAGGGTCTTCCCACCACGTGAACTCAAACCTCAATTTTCATCCCCTCCCTTCTTAGCCACTGAGCAACTCAGTGAAGGTAGGAAGAATCATTGGGAGCAAGACTCCCGCATGGCCGCATCTCCCCTATTTGTGCCTAGCGGGTTTCAAACCCGACCTTAGCTAGACACGGTAACCTCCCATCCAGTGAGCTGAAATGCTGGGTTAAGTCTTTCATTTCTTTTTACAAGTCAAGAGTGAAGCCTTTTCACGCATATAGAAAGGTGGGAAAAGAAAGTTCAATTCAGAATATATTGAACCTTATCTTAGAAATTGCGAAGACTCCAAATTTAAGGAGAAAAGCCTACAAAACAGCGAGGTTGGTAAACTACAAATCATCATTAGTGTTCAGTATCGTCCCCCTTTGTCTTTCCATGAGAAGGGCCCATTCCGATTTGATTAGTCCAATTTTATAAATTTATACGAAGTACGTAGTATATGATATGATTATAATTATATGAATAATATGATCATGTATAGTTTAATATTGCTCGATCTAATTCATTATACAAATATTCAATGGTCTAAAACATTATGAAACGAAATCATGCATGTCATGTTCCTCACTCTGATAGGGAGTACTACGTATGTTTTAACGTTATAATTATCGCCTTTTCGGTCTCATTTTAAGTTCTTATATCAAGTCTACGATTGATATTAAGCTGTGCCGCTGATATTAATTTAACTCCTCGATAATTCTTAAATCATTACTGAAGCTAATGTTAAAATTGCAAAAACAGTATTTGGATATGATTAAAATGATAAATTAAAATTAGTTATGTTGATTATGAGTCCGTTTGATAACACTGAATCAACTGATTTTGCTAAATTTATTAAATTTTGGCTCAAATAGTTGAATTCCGTAATTCTGCTAAATTATGGGAATAAATTAAATATACTCGGTATTTTTTAATAAAATAAGGAAAAAAATATATGAGAAAGAGATAAAATTACTCTTTATACTAACTTCGATCGATTAAACTAGAAAAGTAATTTCAACTTTCTTATATTGATTATTACGCAACTCACCACACGAAATCAAAAATTATACAGGACAATTAATAGCAAATGACTTCAATCGAATTGAATTTTTGAGTAAACGCGCACTTTTTTATGGGACCTAAATGTACAATTTTGTTTTTGAAGGTAGGCCTAAATGTACAATTGATCATTACACATATTAATATTTAATTTATCATTATCTAAACGATTTTTCTGAAAGGTCTATTATAATGGAAAAGTCAAAGTTGAATACGAGGTATCTTAAATTTAAAAATAAAACAAAATTAGATTGACCACATATATATTCTACGTAGACACGTAATAGTATAAGGTCGGTGAATTACCCAAAAAGGTTTCCCATATTGTTTTCCTCACAGCTCCTATAAATATATTAAAATCACAATTGCCTTACAACGATGTGGAAGGTACTTACCTGACAAAAGATTTAGTTTTGCAGCAAAGCTTCAATTCCTTATAGATAAAAAAAAAAGCATGACATTTACCAGTAATTTCCGACAAGAAAGAGAGCCAGAAATGGAGCGCGAAGCCGAAAGGCGGCGGCGGGATTTGGTGGTTCTGGTGCCTAGCCCCTTCCAAGGGCACGTCACCCCTATGCTCCAGCTGGGACACGTCCTTCACTCGAAGGGCTTCTCCATCACAGTGGCCCACGCCAGATGCAACGCCCCTGACCCTTCAAACCACCCTGAATTCTCCTTCCTAGGTCTGGGAGAAAACATAAGCATAAACTTAGATGGGATCATAAAAGCAAGTGATATAGGCCTGAAAGGGAGGCTAGAAACCATCTATGATATGAATGAGAATTGTAGGGTACCCCTCCAGGAGTACCTGGAAGAGAAGGGAGATGTGGTTTCTTGTATCATCTATGACAACCTCATGTTCTTCGTCGATCAAGTTGCCGCCCTTCTCGATCTGCCTTCTATCGTTTTACGCCCTTCCAGCGCTGCTTACTTCCCAGTTTTACTCCATGTTCTTGAACATGAAGACACTCTTTCTTCCCTTCCACGTAGATGCTCTGTTCTTATGCTCTGTTCCTATGCTCTGTTCTTATGCTCTGTTCCTATGCTCTGTTTTTATCCTCTTTGACTCTGTTATTCCATTAAATTTGATAGTCTTTTTCCACTATAAATTTCAATGTCATACAATACTAACAAAGTAGCAAATCCACTCATGTTGCAGAGGATCCAATTCCAGAGTTTCATCCCTTACGATACCAAGATATGCCAATCGTCTTTCGACAATCAGAAGAAGTAAGGCGTTTCATGTTGACTTCAAACGATATAAGGTCTTCAGTGGCCATAATATGGAACACAATGGAGGATCTTGAACACACATGGTTGTCAAGGCTTCAACAACGTTACAAAGTGCCCATTTTCTCAATAGGTCCATTGCATAAGATAGCCCCGACTAGCCGAACAACTAGCTTGATCGAAGAAGACGATAGCTGCCTCGCATGGTTGGATGATCAAGCTCCTCAATCTGTCATCTTTCTTAGCGTATGTGGGAGCTTGGCTGCCATTGATGAAACGGGCTTTGAAGAGATCGCCTCGGGACTGGCTGATAGCAACCAGCCTTTCCTTTGGGCAATCCAGCCCAGTTCAATTGAGGGTGAGTTTGTAATTTTATATTTGATGCATAATCATACATTGTTTAGTTTTTATATTTTTCGATGTGTCACAAATACTTCGACATCATGGGTGGATAAATGAGGCAAGCAACCTCAAAGAGACTACTAAATCATTTGTCAAATCACAAATGGGGTTGTATACTATACAAGAGGTTACAGTGTTACACATTTACACCACATATATTTAGAATGAGTGCACCAAAATCTTATACAAGAGGTTGTATTTTCCTCTTGCACGGACAAATATTTTTGCAAGATTCAATACTAAAATATCTAATATGAGTAGTGTAAGAACTTATATGTAAATTTCATTTCTATACTTCATGAGTGTGGTGGGATGATTCAACTCTTTTTAGGTTTGGAAGAGAAAGAACGGCTCATAGAAGACTTTGAGAAAAGAAATAGAAACAGAGGACGAGTAGTGAAATGGGCTCCACAAAAGAAAGTATTGGCTCATGGCTCGGTGGGTGGATTCTGGAGCCATTGCGGTTGGAACTCGACGCTAGAGAGTCTCGGTGAAGGCGTTCCGATGATTTGTAGACCGCACTTTGCTGATCAATTGGTGAACGCTAGGCTCTTAATCCAAGAGTGGAAGGTCGGGTTGGAGTTGGAGAAGGTGGAGAGAGGTGTTATTGCAGAGACTATTAGAAGACTTATGGTGGGAGATGAGAGAAAAGAGCTGAAGAAGAATGTCATGGATATGAAACGGAAACTTGATGACAGCTTCCAGAAAGATGAAGGCACTTCAAACAAAGCAGTGAATGAATTAACAAACTTCATATCTTCACTCAGTTTAAAATTCCCTTTGTGAGGTGAGGGCGGAACAGTCCTACCAATTTTGAGTAACAATATCTACCAAGTGCTCCTGGTTTTCAAGGATCCCATTTTCCTAATAGTCTAAATAAAATCATGTATTTTAATTTATAATAAATGCAGTTGGTTTTGCTTAAACATATAACTAAGGAAAACATGATTTCATGCAAGATAGTGTCACCTACTCACGCAAGATATAAACCTCTGAAACATCTTAGCAACATTTGTATGTCTGTGAAACCAAATGTTCAAACCATACTTGTAAGTTGTAACTTATTTGAACTATATCCGGAGTATGTCTTTTTCTAAAGTGATGCATGTTATCATCCAAGTCCATGCATTTCAAAGTTCCTTAGACACTTACATCTTCTGGTAAATCCGGTCTTTGATCATCAATGAAGTCGTAGGACAGGAAAAAACATACTACGTATGTAGTTATATATTAGGAATTCAAACAAGCGCATTTTAATAATATTGGGTTATTTATCGTGTTTTTGAGTATATATACACTCATAATCTATACAAAATTTTAAGTTTGAGTATAAATTTGAGAAATTTCTTATATAGGACTTAAACAAGAACAAAGTTCATAAATAGCATTATTATTGTTTTATTTCTCAAATAGGACTCTTTCACTCATATTTTGAGAACTTTTTTTATCAACTTATTCTTTTACTAAAACTAAATCAATAAATCCTATTTGGAGGAAGACATACATATCTTATAGTCCTAATATTGAACTTTCTGCGAAGTATATGTTTTAGTCCTATATATTGAGCATTTTCTATATATACGTTTGGCCTCACAAGCGTAAATATACACTGTAATCTAAAGTGGTAAATAACGAAACAAATATATAAGATAAAAGTAATTCAATTTTTCAAAATAAGAGTAACACTTTTTTCTCTAAAAAAGAATTATGTATGAACAACATCTTGGTAGGAAGAATTACTATAAATTATAACACAAAGGTATTGCGCAGGAATGCTGAGATGTTCAACTAATGCAAAAATAATAGGTATTGCGCAGGAAGTGATAAATTGTTAGAAAATTTTCCTCAATATGACTAAAACAATAAGAAAGTTCCAAAGAGGGGGTGATGTTCATTTATTCCCCAAATATAAGTTATTAATTAGGTGTGCATTTCTTCTCCCCATTATACCCTTGTTTAATTTTCTTCCGTGAGATCTATTCGCACTCATCTACACTCGTCTCTCTCTTATATTTCCTCTCTTTTCCGTAATCTCTTCTCTACAATTTTAATTTCTTATTTCAAATCTAAGCGACTTTCACATCTCCAGCGGCAGATCTGGTGATAAATTGTTCTCCCCGACATTCGACGTCAGTTAATTACGTGTATGCGCGCTTCTATCTCCCCCCTCCTCTTCTTCCCCTCATTCTTCTTCTTCCCCTTCTTCTCCCGTCATCTCCCCCTTCTTCTAATACTTTCTTTTCATTAGTTGAGCCGCAAAGCCTTGATTTTTTGTAGCGAAACTGGTGGGTGATTACAACTATTTTTTTTTTTTTTTGCTTCAGTTTTTTTTCATTCCAGAACTATTTCAGTTGCATCCTTTTCTTACTTTCTTATTGGGTGATGCTGTCATGGGCTACCAACAATAGTTATTGTCATGGGCTATCTCAAATTAATATTCTAATCTGAATTTTAAATTGACACAATCACTCTTTGAGGTATTTTTTATGGTATGAACATGAAAATATTACTTTGCAAATAAAATATTAATAATTGGATACGGTGTTGTTTATGGTATGAACATGAAAATATTACTCCGTACTTTGCATTTAAAATATCAGTAATGCCATGTTTTCCATCTAAAATATAATTTAGGCATATAGTGCCATTTTTATAAAATGAGGATGACAAATACAATACTATTAATGTCATTTTATTTCCGCACATAATGTCATTTATATGGCGCTAACTCATGAAGATGGCAATATCGTCCTTGTAGATGCAATTTTTATGATGCAATTGTGATGGCAAAAAAATGTATGTTTTAACACAAAAGTCAGATGACATTAAAATAGTGATATGGCATTTTAAAGTACTTTTTTCAGGTATGAAACTCACAATGGTGGAGCAAAAAGTGGTGGTGCTGGAAGAGGTAGGGTGACACTAGACAAAGTGGCGGTGACACAAGATAATTGTGCTTTTAATTGCGCAATTATTTTCAAGAATTCATTTGAATGCCTTCCCGATTGAAGTTTTAGCTGAAATTCGGTATGAGTAAACTAGTCTTAATGAATAAGATGCTCAAAATATTTCATCAAAAAATTCCACCTAGAACCGCCTCAAATGGCGACGGGCAGACATAGTCTCCTATATAAGGGCTTACTTGACCTTTTTATGTAAGTTCGAGGGCCTATCTGACCCTTTTCCCGAATAATTAATATGATGGTTGCAGGCTGTTTATATTCTCCATTAAAGGCTTTAAAATAAATACTCCGTATTTAAAATTGAAAACACACTATTCAAGACTTAGATTATCTAGTCTCACACCCAAATCATTATGACAACACAATATACTAAAAAGACAAACCACTGCCAATAAAGATGAGCCCGTGAGGGACTTTTAGAATTCCGAAAAATAAGATTAGATGACAACTCCGGTACCTTTCTAAAAACAGTGGTACCGTACCTAGCATTCATTTGATTGGACCACATCACTTTATCAATTTTAATTTAGATTAAAATAATTCAACTGCTACATTCGACGTCAGTTAATTACGTGTATGCGCGCTTCTATCTCCCCCCTCCTCTTCTTCCCCTCATTCTTCTTCTTCCCCTTCTTCTCCCGTCATCTCCCCCTTCTTCTAATACTTTCTTTTCATTAGTTGAGCCGCAAAGCCTTGATTTTTTGTAGCGAAACTGGTGGGTGATTACAACTATTTTTTTTTTTTTTGCTTCAGTTTTTTTTCATTCCAGAACTATTTCAGTTGCATCCTTTTCTTACTTTCTTATTGGGTGATGCTGTCATGGGCTACCAACAATAGTTATTGTCATGGGCTATCTCAAATTAATATTCTAATCTGAATTTTAAATTGACACAATCACTCTTTGAGGTATTTTTTATGGTATGAACATGAAAATATTACTTTGCAAATAAAATATTAATAATTGGATACGGTGTTGTTTATGGTATGAACATGAAAATATTACTCCGTACTTTGCATTTAAAATATCAGTAATGCCATGTTTTCCATCTAAAATATAATTTAGGCATATAGTGCCATTTTTATAAAATGAGGATGACAAATACAATACTATTAATGTCATTTTATTTCCGCACATAATGTCATTTATATGGCGCTAACTCATGAAGATGGCAATATCGTCCTTGTAGATGCAATTTTTATGATGCAATTGTGATGGCAAAAAAATGTATGTTTTAACACAAAAGTCAGATGACATTAAAATAGTGATATGGCATTTTAAAGTACTTTTTTCAGGTATGAAACTCACAATGGTGGAGCAAAAAGTGGTGGTGCTGGAAGAGGTAGGGTGACACTAGACAAAGTGGCGGTGACACAAGATAATTGTGCTTTTAATTGCGCAATTATTTTCAAGAATTCATTTGAATGCCTTCCCGATTGAAGTTTTAGCTGAAATTCGGTATGAGTAAACTAGTCTTAATGAATAAGATGCTCAAAATATTTCATCAAAAAATTCCACCTAGAACCGCCTCAAATGGCGACGGGCAGACATAGTCTCCTATATAAGGGCTTACTTGACCTTTTTATGTAAGTTCGAGGGCCTATCTGACCCTTTTCCCGAATAATTAATATGATGGTTGCAGGCTGTTTATATTCTCCATTAAAGGCTTTAAAATAAATACTCCGTATTTAAAATTGAAAACACACTATTCAAGACTTAGATTATCTAGTCTCACACCCAAATCATTATGACAACACAATATACTAAAAAGACAAACCACTGCCAATAAAGATGAGCCCGTGAGGGACTTTTAGAATTCCGAAAAATAAGATTAGATGACAACTCCGGTACCTTTCTAAAAACAGTGGTACCGTACCTAGCATTCATTTGATTGGACCACATCACTTTATCAATTTTAATTTAGATTAAAATAATTCAACTGCTACCTTTTCATTGGTCCATGTGGACAATGGTATGGTACCTTATGGGTACCATAGAAACTACCATAAGATTATTACAAAAGCAGATAATAATAAATAGGGGCAATTTCCAAAATGACTTCGGGGCTTTCCGTTTTTCTTTAAACTGAATAGCCTATATATTGAGTAGGGAAGGATCGAATTCCTCATCAAAGCATTGCTGCATAGAACAGGTCGAGAAGTAGAACGCCGGCCTGATATTTAGAAGAAAATCATTAGCTATTAATGAATGATGATTCTGTCATGGTATTATTTTGAACGCTTCATTCTTGATTTCTCAATACATGACTTTTATTTTTGATTGGAATGCATATTTTCAATATAGGTTGAAATTTATCAAACAAATGTTAGCAACTAATTTAATTTGTTGCATTTTAATAACTAAATTTAGACGAGACTCAAGTTAATATATTTTTGTGATGAGTGCTGAATCTCATGTACACTCTTAGAGGTGTTTTGTTAAGAATGAATGAATAAAGTTATGATGGCTCAAATGTGTTACTACATATAAATGTTTTCCTATATAGAATTTGATGATAACTTCCTTTTAGGGCATTAATGTCGGTCAAATTTTCGAAAGGCTTATTAAAGTAAATATATTCATATTATACATGTTATACAAAATTGAAATTCAAAGTAATGGTATAATTAAGGGGTGTTGATATTGTAAAATGAAACTCTTCTTGAGTTATTTGATTATTTTGGTGTATTTAATTTGAAGATTTGGTCTAAATCAAATTTATTTTATTTCATGTGTTTTTTAAGAAAATTTCAGGGATAAAGGTATGGTCGCGATCAATTGTGCGAAGTTATATGAAAATGATTCTCAATTAAGCTATTTTTTATCTAATCTTATGAACTATTCATTTCATTTTTTGATTAATAAGGATTGTTATACCCTTAGACATGCAAACACATGAATGCGATTTGTATGCCTTACTGAGCGTAGAGCCCCAAAAATATTGAATCTTCTCATTTCATTCGTATGATTAGGTTTGTATTTATGTCATTTTAAAATCAATCTCAAGTTTATACATTCTTTGATGATTTCATCACTCTGTTTTGTTTACACAACCAAAATTTGAACATCCATATACTTCCTATACATAATTTCAAGTTGTATGTATTTTAACAAATTAAAATATAAAGAGTGGTTTAACCTATCATTTAATTAAGTAAGTTAACACCAGTGGTTTCATTGGATGATTTGCATTTTCATTATCTAACCTCAATGGTCTTAAATATTTTTCTTCCAAAAGCATCTGTATTTTTGGTATTATAAGAAGCATATGGTTTTCTATTTGCTATTCATTTTTTCTAGGGAAAACTATCAAATAA